ATGAAATAAGACACTTTTATAAGATAAAACTGCTTAAAAACAAGTAAAAATGTACAGAAATAAGTTAAATAATCATTACAATATTCTTACAACAGTCTCATAATGAGGAATATTAGATTTATTGACTACATTTAAGACGTTTACACTCACTAAGACATCATTGTTTGCAGTGTGGACAGTTCTGATCTTTGTTTGTAGAGACAAACTGTTGTATTTAAAGCTCTTTTCAAGCTCCTTCATCCTTGTTCTGCGGAGTGCCGATCTGGGTCCTCTGTTGTTATTAATTGATCTGAGTGGGAAAAGCTGTCCACCGTTTCCACATTTTCTCCATCACTGGCTGTGTTTACATGCAAAGATCTTCTCCAATCTGATTGAATACAGTCCAATTATAGATTCAGACTGAGGTGTTTATTCTCACTCTACTCGACACTCTGATGGTAAATCTTTGTTTACATGCTCACTACAAGTAATCAGATCCAAAATGATGCACATGTGTAGAGAACCGTTTAGTGCAGACGTTACCATGACAACCAGCATCACGTGAGTCCAGTCAGAGTGAGATGAGCAGCAGTGAGCAGTGCTTGTGTTTTTAACTGCTTTAAAATGATGTCAGACTCAGGAAAACGTCCTTCACATGTCCTTATTAAAGAAGGCCGAGAGGAAGACGTCATGTTCTGAGACACATAAGCTGGACGTCTGTCCCACCGCCGTCTTTTAAAGATCAGAGCGTAAACTTCGTCTCCTCTGCAGACCAGTTTCTGCTCCGCCATGTTGAACGGTATAAACTTTCACTATGACGCGACGAACATGATCAGAACGGACTTAAACTTTATGATAGGGAATGTAATCAGATACAGCCGTTTACACGGATATTATTCTTCTATTTAACGGATTATTTACAGGATTACCCACCTCGTTCACCTGTATTCCGGCCTCTATTCATACTAGTCTATTTCCCAACTGAGGTGTTTACATGGACATATTCTATTCCGATTGAGCTATTAGTCAGATTACTAACAGATTATTGGGCTGCATGTAAACGTGGCTACTGTTAAAGTTAGTCTTTCCTGTTGTCATAAACTTAGTCATCTTCATACAGATCTGAAGTCCCATCTTTTCACTCTGTTCTTTAAGCTTCGTTATAAGGACCTTCAGGTCTTCCAGATTTTCCACTACGAGTGTTGTATCATGCACATATTGAAGGTTACTGATGTTTCTTATTTCTTGTTTCTTGATTATTAATGTTATCATCCACATACTGACACAGTCCACAGCGTTGGCACACTCTCTGATTTTTCTTCAACCAATACTGAATCCTTAATCATCTTCCTCCAGTCCTGCTTCTCTCATTATTTGTTCTTCACACAGGTTGAACAGGTATGGTGATAGGATGCAGCCCTGTCTTTTCCCAAGCGGAACCAGTCTGTTTGTCCATCTTCTGTCCTGTTCTGTGGCTTGTTGATCAGTGTACATTCCTCATTAGAACAATGAGAAGCTCTGGTATTCCCATTTTCGTGAGGACATTCCATAATTTGTACATGTGTTTGTACACGTTGACTTCCTTCTTGAACTCCTTTGCTTTTTCAATGATCCAGCAAACATCCACAATAATATCTAGTCCTGCTCGCACGTCCAGCACTTCTCTTCCCATGTAAGGCTCTATGCTGTGTTGACTGATCTTAAGCCTAACTGGCGTGTGATATTGAGGAAACTGCAATAGTTTGCACACTCTTTCTTGTCTCCATGCTTTGGTGTTGAGATATAAACTGACCTTCCAATCTGCCGGCCAGTGAGCTGTTTTCCAGATTTGTTGGCATAATTTGCTCAATACTTTAACCAAAATCTTGAAATAATTCCGTTGCAGTGTTATTAATTCCTGTGGTGAGTTGGAGAACCAACCAGAATCCCAGTTTCAGCTGAAAGGTGGGACACTTCCCAAACAGCAAGGCCTTCAAGAGTTGGCATTCAGTGAGAGGAGCTGCAGCCCTCCAGTCCAGCAAGAATGCTTTTACTGCAATACAAGAATTAATGCACGTGGCCTTCCTTCCTGAAGCTGGAGCTTGCAGACAGGCATGAGCATAATTACTGGTGTGTAATATTAAGGAAATTGTGTGATAGTTTGACCTGTCCAGGGTGCATCCTACCTTCCACCCAGTGACAGCTGGGATAGGCTCCAGCGCCCCACCGCGACCCTGAAGGATAAGCGGGTTAGATGATGTGTGTGTGTGTGATAGTTTGCACACACTTCCTTTTTTTTCCCCTAATTTTCTCCCCAATTTAGTCGTTTCCAATTCCACCCACTAGTTAGGACTCCCCCGTACACACGACACCACCAGAGCTAGGAGGGTGAAGGCAAACACAGGCTTCCTCAGAGATCTGTAAAAGCACCACGGCATCTTTTCAGACTGCCACTCATGCAACGTCACTGGACAGCCGAACACACTCAGATCTGTTATGTCAGCTAACAGATACCGGCACTGACTAGCACTGCGTTGAGTGATTGGGGGAGAAGTGGGGGGCCATCCTACCCGCCTAGAGAGCGAGGCCAACTGTGCTCTCTTGGACTCCCGGCCACGGACGGCTATAGCATCACCAGGCATTGAACTCGTGATCTCCTGATGATAAGTTAGCTTAGATGGTTGCGCCACTTGGGAGCTGCACACACTTCCTTGTTTCCTTTCTTTGCTGTTGGGATACAAACTGACCTTCCATTCTGCTGGCCATTGAGCTATTTTTCTGATTTGTTGGCATAATTTGGTCAATACTTTAACCAAATCTTTATCAAAATCTTGAAATATTTTCGTAGCAGTGTTATCAGTTCCTGTGGCGAGTGGTAGGACCAATCAGAATCCCAGTTTCTTGTTTGGCAGTGATCTCAGGGCCTGTCTGACTGTCTTATAGCACTAAAAGGTTTTCTGTGTAGTCGACATCAACAGGAGTGTCTTGTGTCTTCTGTGTATTCCTTCTGTCTTTGTTTGATTTTTGCTTTGTCTGTGATGATTTGTCCATTGACATCTCTCACATTGCCAACTCGAGGCTGAAATTTATTTTTGCTCTCCCGTATTTTCTGAAAAACAATCCTTGTTTTTCTGTGTTTGTTCTCATTTTCAATATATTTACAGATGCACCAACAACCTGACTGGGTACAATACAATTAATAAACCAATCAGAAAGAAGCTGATATTGTTTATTACTACGGCTAAGTGTGATCCACATAGACGATGACCATCTCTATTTTCTGTTTTATGGTGGCAAATGTGAGAGTAACAGCTCATGCTTCCCTATAAAATTGGTGTGGACTGAAAATGAAGCAGGTTTGCAGTGGTGGACAGTAACGAAGTAAATATAATCCATTACTGTACTTAAGTAGTTTTTTGTGTATCTATACTTTACTGAAGTTTTTCCATTTTGGGCAACTTTTTCCTTTCACTCCACTACATTTCAAATATCTCACTTTTTACTCCACTACATTGTGAGAAATCTGTCGTTCCTTTTGGTTTATGTGTGTATAAAAACAACGTCAAAACGAAAGAAGCGCAAAGTAAGAACACCAATCAGGGCACAGCGCACTTTGTTTTGAGCTTGTTTTGACCTGTTTGTCATACCGACCCAGTGCAGCACACGGTTCAACAACAGTGCAGCAGCGTAAAGTTTTGGGAGAGTCTATTCAACATAAATGATGAACTAACCTAACTTTGTGTAAACAGACCACAATATAGAAATATGTACTCATATGCAGTTGTGACTGACGTGTCTTTATTCTGAATTTATACAAACACATTTCATTTTATAGTAAATTAGTTTTCTCTAGTTTATGTTTATGAACAGAGACCTACAGATGCAGTTTAGTAAAGGAAACTCATTTGTGAATCTGAGTTTAAAGTTTCTATTAAACTTAAACTTGTAACTAAGTTCAAATAAATCTTAAACTGAAACTTTGCTTGTTTGTAAAAAGTGATTTCAGAGCCACTCAGTTCTACCTGATGGAAACTGTTTGCCTTCAGTGTTTTGTGCTTATGATAATTTTAATAGACATCAGCGTCACTAATTAATGACTGGTTTACCAAGAGAGACACTGGAGTATTTTCACCTAAAATGAGTTAATGAAGCGAGTCTTGTTATAAAAATGGTAACAGGACATTAAAGTCATAATTAATCTTTTAGTACTTTTACTTTCGATACTTAAGTACATATGAAAGTGAATACTTTGTGCTTTTACTCAAGTGGAGGTCTGAAGGGAGGAACTTCTCCTTTTACTGGAGTAATATTTTACCTTGGGTATCTCTGACCTTATTCTTGAATAGGTTTATAGATCATACAAGACTCACATCTGGAGTTATGAGCCTATGAAGAGGGGCTGAAATACATGTCATCTGCCTGTCACTGTGCGGAACTGCTGGATTCGTGTGTCCATCTACATTCTGTGTGAAACTGACCAATGGACACTCAGGAAATCACAAAGAAATGACCATCACGCCGGAAACCCTTCATTCTTCATTCAGTCCACATCGGAGACACATGTGAAATGGTGTGCAGAGAGTTTACAGCTGCTGAAGTTGCTGCTGCGGTTTTGGAAAGAAGATATGCACAAGTCGTGAAAACGCCCACAGAAAAAAGGTAGAACATGTTTTGGGCCAAAATCTTCCCAAAACTATCATAAAACAGTGTCTCAGGACATCAGGCAGTGAATTCATAACCATTTCATGTAGTAACTTTCTGTGAGGGAGCTTTTAGAGGTGGACGTCTGGTTCCTATCACCACCACTGTGAACAGTTCTGAGTCAGTAAGTTTCTCTAGAGCAGAGCGTTTCACACCAAACCACTCTGATTGACTCTGTTTATGCAGAAATTTTGAAAGTTGGTGGAGTTGCCCTTTAAGCTGATGACAGAGCCTACAGTGAGTGTGTGTGCGCTGCAGTGCTGAGTGACTGTGTGTGGGACAGTGCAGGCTCATGTTTCTCTCTGTGAAAGGCAGCGTGGGTGAGTGAATGAGTGCTGTACCTTCCTCGTAGCCCCAGTCCAGCTCGTCTTTTCCCGGCAGGTAATCAGACTCCTCTATCACGCTGTCCGCCATGGTGATGGAGCCGGTGGGCCGAAACTTCCAGAAAAATCACACTCCTCCCCTCCAGAGAGAACGCCAAGACTTTTATGGGTCTCCTTTTGGCTGAGCTTCAAAGGAAAGTCCACTTTTGTTCTCCTCTTCTTCGGTATTCACTCTACGCCCAAACACAGTCAGACTGAAACCGGCAGGAACAGAGAAACCACAGAGCTGGGCTCCTCCAGACCTGCTGAGCCAGAGCACTCACTGCCCCACAGCCTCAGTCTGATCACTCACTCAGCCCTCTCTGCACCGAGGTCTCTCTCTCTCTCCCTCTCTCCTACTCTCTCTCTCCCTCCCTCTTACTCTCTCTCTCCCTCCCTCTTACTCTCTCTCTCCCTCCCTTTCTCTCTCTCTCTTTCTTCCCACTTTCTCTCTCTCTCTCTCTCTCTCTCTTTCTTCCCACTTTCTCTCTCCCTCTCACTATACCTACAGCTCTCTCTATCACGTAGACTCTTGTATAATCTTTTCTTTCTCTCTCTCTCTCTCTCTCTCTCTCTCTCTCTCTCTCTCTCTCTCTGTCTCTCTCACTTTATACTACCTACAGCTCTCTCTCTTTATCCCTTTAAACTACCTACAGCCCCCCCCACTCTCTCTCCTATTTCTCTCTCCTGTCACTCGCTCTATATTATCTGTTTCTCTCTCCTGTCTTTCTGTTTCTTTCTTTCTTCTGTTTTTCTCTCTCTTATTTGCCTTACTCTGTCTCCCTCTCTCACTCTTTCTCTCTCTCTCTCTCCCTCCAGTTTTGCTTCTCTCTCTTTCTAGTTCTCTCTCTCTCTCTTTAAACTACCTACTCTCTCTCTCTATTTTCTATCTTTTTCTCTTTATTTTCTCTTTCTTTTCTTTCTTTCTTTCTCTTTATATAACCTACAACTCTTTCTCACTCTCTCTCTCTCTCTCTCTCTCTCTCTCTCTCTCTCTCTCTCTCTCTCTCTCTCTCTCTCTCTCTCTCTGAATGTCTTTATCTTCAGTTTTCTCAGTCTGAGACCTGGTGCCCCGGCCTCCTCCCCCAGCAGCAGCTTGCGTTCTGATTGGCTGAAAGTGGTGACTCTGTAAGAAATAGCTCACAGTCCAGCCTGGTTAACAGTCTGGCCACACATGCTGGACACAACGATGATGGGGGCCAGAGCAAGGTTATAATAATAATACTAGTAATAATAATAATAATAATAATAATGTTACAAAGTGCTTCAGAAAGTGCACAAGTAGATCAAATATAAATGAAAATCAACAAATAACATTTAGTTGTTTTTTTAATCATCAGTTCGATCAAAACTCACCATTTATCCAGCCAGAGAGGAAACAGGTGCCATTAGAAAAACACTCACCCAGAGAAAGAGAGAGAGTACAGAGAAAGAGACAATACAGAAAGAGAGAGAGAGAGAGAGAGAGAGAGAGAGAGAGAGGGTGGAGGTTCTATGTGCTGTTATTGTTAATGGTGTGAGTTATTGTTAGTTGTGTGAGTTATAGATGGTGATAAACAGGTCATAACTGTATTATTGTTATTATAGCCGTGTTAGTTAGTGAGGGCGAGGTGCAGGATGGCCTTCACTGTGTTTTGCTCTGAGGGATGATGTAACTGCTCAGTGTTATTCTAACTAAAGGGTGGGCTCAGTGTAAATGGAGCTGCGCTTTATAAAGAACTGAATTTGTCAGGCAGCTTTCGCTGATAATGTCTCACCAGCCCAGAACAACCAATGAATAACTTCGTACGTATATCAGACTCTCACCTTCTGGGGTTCACGAACTCTCCCACACGTCAAATTCTATATTTCTGTATCTTTGTGATGATCCAGCACAGAAATACAGTTCAAACTCTTTCTGAATCTGTAGAGTCGCCTTTTCCATTCCATCTCATCACGATATCATACGAGACTCACATCCGGAGTTATGAGCCTATGAAGAGAGGCTGATCAAGCATTACTGAGCTCTGCTAAAGCCTGAGTAGACTGATAAATCAATGTGATGATCAGTTATTAATCTCAGTGTTTCTGAGCTCTGCTAAAGCCTGAGTAGACTGATAAATCAATGTGATCAGTTATTAATCTCAGTGTTACTGAGCTCTGCTAAAGCCTGAGTAGACTGATAAATCAATGTGATCAGTTATTAATCTCAGTGTTACTGAGCTCTGCTAAAGCCTGAGTAGACTGATAAATCAATGTGATGATCAGTTATTAATCTCAGTGTTACTGATCTCTGCTAAAGCCTGAGTAGACTGATAAATCAATGTGATGATCAGTTATTAATCTCAGTGTTACTGATCTCTGCTAAAGCCTGAGTAGACTGATAAATCAATGTGATGATCAGTTATTAATCTCAGTGTTACTGATCTCTGCTAAAGCCATCATATCATATCATCAAATCATATCATACCTTTTATTTAGTTTGTCTATTTTTTGGTCAGATTTTTCAAAATCTCATTTTGACTACAAATCTTGCTAAATGAAGGTTAACCAAGATAAAACAAGGCAAATAAAACAAAATTAAAATTCAAAATAAAATTAAACTTTGCATGAACTTCTAACATTTGTAATCCTGCTGTATAGACATAACAGCTGCTTCCCCACCACGTTCTACACCTTTAAAAAGATGGTTCTTAAAGGGTTCTTTAATAAAGACAATGGTTCCATATAGAACCTTTTTGAAAATGGTTCCACATAGCACCAAACAGGTTCTTCTATTTTTACAAGCTTGACATCATGACGATAAAAGAACCCTTTTTGGTGCTATACAGATACCTTATATACCTTTGTATATTATTCTATATGTTGTATATGTTGTATATAGTTCTATATAGAACCTTTTTGAAAATTGTTCTATATAGCACTAAAAAGGGTTCTGCTATTGTTAGAAGTCACAGTAGAAGAACAGAAACATTTTCAAAACGGTCCTATATAGAACCATATACAACACATTCTCCATCGATCTAAAGAACCATTTCACCATGCAGAGAACCATTTAAGCATGAAAGGTTTTATATAGAACTAATTGTTCTAAAAAGAACCATTCCCTTTACTAAAGAACCCTTGAAGAACCATCTTTTTTAAGAGTGGAGATCAGTAGATTATTCACATCTTACACATCTTTTAAAGTAAAAAATCAAATCATACAGTGTCAGAAAACACATAAGCAGGTCTACATGAGAAGTCCTTAAAGGGGAATTTCACTGAAATTTCTAAATTCTCTGCATAATTAAGTGGTTAAGATGTAAACAGAGTCGTTCAGAGTGGTTTGGTGTGAAACGCTCTGTTCTAGAGAAACTTAGGGAGTCAGAACTGTTCACAGTGGTGGTGACAGGAACCAGACGTCCACCTCTAAAAGCTCCCTCACAGAAAGTTACTACATGAAATGGTTATGAATTCACTGCCTGATGGCTGAGACACTGTTTTATGATAGTTTTGAGAAGATTTTGGCCCAAAACATATTTTAAACCCTTTAAATGATGGAGGGATACATGCAGGGCACAGTAAGGGCAAAATAGTCCCCAAAGATTATTATTATTTTCAGATTTTCCACTATTTTTCCATCATCAACATTCCATATTAACTCAGAAGACTCGTGTAGGTTCACTGGTGGTTTTGGATAGTAAACAAAATGTCTATATCTGTGTTGTAGTCATGGCGACCCCTGGTTCCTATCACCACCACTGTAAAGAAATCTGAACCATTTCACACCAAACCACTCTGAATCTCTCTGTTTACATTGCAAACACTGAGCTAAGGAGGAATTCTGGAAAATACGTGGAGTTCCCCTTTAACAATTCAACAGTTGGCCCAGTGCTAAAACTAAAGAAGCAAACTTCAGACACCAAACATGTCTTATATATTTGGCCAAATTATCGCTTTAAAGCTGAGTCTGTGTGTGTGTGTGTGTGTGTGTGTGTGTGTGTGTGTGTGTGTGTGATCCTCCCGTTGTACCAGACAAAAGAGTAACACCCAGATGAGGTCAGTGATGTGTGTCAGTGTGCGCCGCTGCGTGTTCTGACCCACATTTACTGAAATTAAAAACTCCTAATTGCACATATGAGCTGCTTTTCTCTAATTAACTCTAATTAGGTCTCCTCCCTCCCTAAAGCTCACACACTACACCATAGGAACAGTGTGACCTTTACTCTACCATCAGATATCTGACTCTAATGCACAGGAATCATCACAATTTACATCAGTTCTCACATTAAAAACAGGCAGGAACGATGCTTTACATGTTTAACTGCATCTTCATTGCTTTAGAGAGAAATAAAGCAGCTCACATGATGAAACAGGTCAAGCCTGAACTTAAGATCCAACACTGTCCTCTAGTGGACATTAATGAACATGGTCAGGCCTTTGGGTGACTGCTGTTATGGATATTAAAGAGCCTGTATCATGGGGAACTTAATTTTTTAGATTTTTTTGAAAAAGTATGACATGATATGTAAACACTGTTAAGTTTCAAAATCTAAAGTTCACTCTCCAGTCCATACAGTCCATAAATAAACAGCCTGCTTTAAGTCCATTATTTCTGTGATGTCACAAGAACTAATTTGCATACACACTAATTCAGCCTACAGCAGTTTCATTCCCGCATCTTTAAGTGTTTTATAAGTGAGGCACAATACAGGGCAGCCAATCAGAACAGAGCTGATTTACATACACCAATCAGGCATAACATTATGACCACCTTGTTTCTACACTCATTGTCCATTTTATCAGCTCCACTTACTAAATAGGTGCACTTTATAGTTCTACAGTTACAGACTGTAGTCCATCTGTTTCTCTGCATACTTTGTTAGCCCCCTTTCACCCTGTTCTTCAGTGGTCAGGACCCCCATGGACCCTCACAGAGCAGGTACTATTTGGGTGGTGGATCATTCTCAGCACTGCACTAACACTGACGTGGTGGTGGTGTGTTAGTGTGTGTTGCGCTGGTACGAGTGGATCAGACAGATACAGATGCAGTCTGTAACTGTAGAACTACAAAGTGCACCTATATAGTAAGTGGAGCTGATAAAATGGACAACGAGCGTAGAAACAAGGAGGTGCTCATAGGGCTGGGCGATAAAACGATAATGATAATTATCGCGAAATAACTTTTCCTCGATAGAGCGATACGACATGTTTGATAAATGTTCGATATAATACACCATTCTCACACTTCCACGTTCAGCGAAAGCCTTGGTGGCGTTTTCTACTGCAAGGAAAGCGACACTTCTGTGCTGTCGCCAGGAGAGGGCGCACTTCTGAGTTTTTCTACATGATTAGAGAGGGAGGGGGCCACGAGTAAGATGAGTCTTTAGCAACGGCTGAAACGCGCAGTTATACATTCCCTGTTTGAGTGGAGCGACAGG